AGGTGTGGTGTAGCTGAGCCAAACGGATCTTTTCAAAAAGTTTCCAGTCATCCAATTCTTGTGTATGGTTTCAGATCTTTCCTGAGGATAGGTGACCTTGCAGCTCCAGAGTGAGCCTATGACACTGCAGGGACCACCCTCTCGCACAGTGAGATGGGCAGTTGATGCCCAGGAAGGCAAGAAATGAAAGAATCAGGGCATTGTTGATGCACAAGAACCCATTTTGTATTTTTTTAAATCTATAATTTTTTTCCTAACTGTTATAAGATCAGTTTTAGTGTAGTGAAAAATGAACTTTAAATTGATGATTATATAGTTCAAGAAATTATGTTTGGTGTGAAGTCCCTGTTTTGTTTTTTTTTCAACTGTAACAGTAGCATACACATTGGCCCATGTGGGGGTCATACAATTAAAGAAGTATGAAACTCTGATAGACTGTGCCCATTTGTCTCTGCAGAAGTTACATCCTTAGTAGATGAAGGCACTTTTAAACACGTTTGCTTTTTTTTTTTTTTCAGGTCACAGGAGTGCTATTTAATAAATTACTTTTCTCAGGCACTCTGAACTACCTTTATTCTTTGCAAAGGTTAATGCAGCTTTTCAAAGTGTCTAAGTTATTCTCAGAGAATAATTTATGCACTAAATAGACTCCTCTTATTTAGAAAGCGTCTAAATGAAAAAAAGTGAAATATAAATTGGTAACAAGTAGACACGATTGTTTATTCCCAAATATTTTCCTCCCAATATTTATTGATATGGATTGAATATATATTTTTGACTACTACATGTAAAATTCCTATACTTGTTCCCCTTATTCCCCGAACCTATTATTCTTATTGTCTTGTTTTATCCATAGCATTTATCACAAAAGTATCACATATCTTACTTACAGATTTTTGTCCTTTTTGACTTACTTTATTAGAATGTAAGTTATATCTGATAATTTGTTTTTAAATTGCTGTACCTCAGCAATTTACTTTTGGGACAGTACCAGGTACATGTGAGCATTTAATAATTGCTTGATAAATGAATGCAGGGATAAATCTACACTTATCAAATCCACCATATAAATGGCAAATTTCTTCTTGTTTGGCTTTATAGTCATCATTTTCTGGAAATCAGCATCATGTAACGGTCAAGGGTGTAGTTTCTAGAGTCTTTGGGCATTGCATGGATCCTGCTCCTGACACTGTTTCACTTAAGAGAAGTTACTTAATATTTTGAGCGCTTTGGTTTTCTTTTCCCCAGTATATACTATTTTAGTGTATAAAGTACACGCTTAATGTATTCTAGTCCACAGGTGGCCCTTACAAATCACATGTGCTATATCATTAAATCAATTCGTGAAATTCCAAATGCATCCATTGCTTACCTGATTGCAATTATGAGGGTGTTTTAAAATATTTTGCTTCATTCATCTGAATCATTGTGAGAAGTCCATTTATTATTTGTTTATTTTAAAAATAAAAAAGAAAAATCAAGAGACAAACATTCAAAAAGCAACAACAAAAGCAAAATGACAGCAACAGCAACAAAAAAACAATAGCAAGAAGTACAAGGCACACATTTAAAGCTTACTTTGTAATACATTTTATTCTCTGAAAATTAGCAGGACATTAATTTTGTTTCTTTAACAAACTTCATTGGAATCAAAACAAAATGAAATAATTCTAAGGTCAAGCTCATTTTTGAATTTTACTCTTCCATTTTCTAGGTTTGTAACTATGGAAAAACAACTAAAAAGCTGAAGCTTCAACTTGCATATTTGTAGTTTGGTAAAAATTAAATGCATGTTAATGGTTGAATATTAAGCACAGCACTATTCTTAATGCATAACAGATCTCAATAAAATTAAGGTAAATTTTATTTTATAATAGTACTTAGGGAATATGGAAGAATTATATAAGTTTTTATAAAATTAATGAGAATTTAGAGTAAAAGTATTTTTTGGTGACTTCAGATTCAATTCTAAGCAAATACAGTGATAGATTGAAATATTGGAAAAAGTTATCATTTTTAAAAGAGATTTTAATATAAGAAATATTGACATATTTGAAAGAAAATCGCTTATTATATGACTGTTTTGTGTCACAGCACAGAACATACTGGTACCAGTTTAAGAGATGTGGGTAACTTTAAATCAGCACTTCTGAATTTCTTAAAATTCAATAATTTATGTTCAATCCTCTTTTCTCTCTCCATCTTCATCAAAAATATGATGATACTAAGTAAAAAACACAAAACCTGCAGGCACACATACCTTCAAGGTGGTCACCACGGAAGGTATTACACTGTTTTATCATATTAGCTGTGTTACGCACTGTTAGCACCTAAGTTGGTTCAGGTGTTGGTTGTTGCAATTAGATATGATACAGAAGTTGGAAAATGCTTCTGCTGAGATGGTCTAACAAGAATGTCTGAGTCCACTCTTCAGCATCTAACTCCTGTGATCTCAGAATACACCACAGAAATTGGGCTATCATTAAACTTCAGAAGCAAGATCAATTCATGTGTCTGGAATTGCTGCTGTTCTGGGAAGCCAGGATATTAGGCTTTGATGAGTGTAGTCTTAACATAGTTTTCAGTTTCCAAGTAATTGATTGTGTCACACACACACAGACACACACACACGTACAATTAGAACTATGAAGATCTAGGTAAGATTCAATCCTTTAAGAATGCTCAGACTGTGCTATGTTTTTTTCTGAATGTGGAAGTCGTACCACCATTGTCTTCATACGACGAATGACAAATCCAAAGAATGGCTGAAGAAGAATTTGAATACATAGCTGCTGACAGCAAAATCAAAGTATTTTCTGCTAGGGCTCATTGTCTTCTATTTCTACATCTCCTTCATTTAAAAATATTGACAAGTTTTAACGTCTATGACAGTACTGTAGCTTTTGTTCATTATGTGAAAGGTGCATGCCATGCCTTTTCTGGAAAACTTTGGATCTGATCTAAAGTTAGAAAACTTTCAGTAAGCTGTTTCATTAGTCATAAGATTTTCATCCATTTTTTGGCAACATAGACATGTCTAGTTTCATCTATAATAATGGTTTTTACTATTCCTCCAAAGAGAAATGAGGACCTTCTCTGACTGATAAAATTATTTTCTCCCTAATAATGCCCATATTATGACATATAACTCTATTTAAAATTGTATCAATGCTATAAGAATTTCTATTCCTTGTCACACGAAAGATCTATTAAAGCACACAAAATTTGAAAAGCTAAAGAAGACAGCTGATAATAATAAAAGAACCACTATATTTATTTAATAAAGGTTGACATTTAGGTAGATAGTGCAGCCAAATTTATTATCAGAAGGATCTGGGGTTGAATTCTACTATTTTTATTTCTTTTCCAAGTCACTAAAACTTCCTGAGAATCATCTTTCCCCCACATGGAGTAATAAATGACGCATTTTTGGAAAAGTGCACAGGAACAAATATGGTCAGCTAGCAACCTGATTACTGAGACTACTGAGCTGGTTTGGGCAAGACAAAGTCCTCAGCTCAAGTGCATCTCTTGTTTTGAGAGTCCAAGACTTAACAAACCATTTTCTGGCTTTGGTCCTAGCCTTTGGCCTGGGGACTAATTTCATCCCCACACTGTCTGGTGGCCTCACCACAAGTCACTTAGGTCTCGGACAGACTCTTAATTTGATTTACTTTTATATAAATTTATTAATATCAATCACGGTGTGCTCTGCACAAGATTAAGTTGGTCTTCAGTGTCCATCTGTGTGAGACGTTTCACACATTTCCAGAAGACTATAGCTAATCAGACACATAGCTGTTCACACCAGTCACTCTTTGTGACCAAGTAGCACAGTATAACGCTGAAAAAAGGAAGTTCCTGTTAAGTTGTTTTCAGTCTACTTTTGAAGATAAACTTATCCCTTCCTTTCCCACATCCTGACCAAAGACACTTTTTTTAAACCATAAATTTGTTTTAAAGTGATGATGTAAAAATCAAGGCATATTTACTTCCTTTTGCTAAAGATTTGATTAATCTTCAAGAGATCTTTTATCCCAAACCTCAAGCTTTTAAAATGCACTAAATTATTTGAGTAAACCTTTACATTTTATTTTCTTTTTGCTTTTTATGCATAAACCAAAGCCACCAAACTGAAAGACTTTATTTCACTGTACAAACCATGGGTTCAAAAATTGTACACTCCTGGAAAATGTTTTTGCTTTAGCAGGCGAGAAAAGGGTACTCAGTTAAAAAAACATTATTAAATATCAGACTAATGTTTAAGTCTAAAAGTCAATTTTCATTTATTTGACCAACCCACACTGACATTTTAAAAACAACTCTCATTGCTCTATACTATGAGTTTATCATTTTCATACCTCTGTGTTAGCCCTCATCATCCATGAAGGAGCAGTGCTCTTGTTGGAGATCGTGCTGTTTTTCAGACACATACTACTTCCCTGTTCTTCCTTTTGTAGTATGTACGTGTTTACTGAGAAAATGATGCATAAACCAATGACTTTGAGAACTTGCAATGGTAGAGAAATTTTTTTCTCACCTTATTTGGTCAGTAAAAGTACTCAAAATTCCCTCTGAATTAGATATTGAGTGTTTGAATACTTCTGACTTTATGTATGTTGATATTATGAATGTACAACTGTCTCCAAATTGGCAAGTTTTTCTATCTGTATTATTTAAATCTCCTCAATACTTGTTTTGAATTCTTTCTATTTAAAATAATTTTTTGCAAACTTTATAAGTTACTCCTTAGCTATTCTAATACAAAAGTGTGGCTCTCTTACATTTAGCAAACTGAAGTTGAGCAATAAAAATAATACTGAAATACTGTAACCAAAATTTCTGCCTTCCTTTTGGATAATGGTTTCTGATAATCACCAGACTTTAGTGAGTTTTTACAGTAAAGATATAGACTGCTTATTTAACAGTGAGTTTAAGCCTTTCCAGCAAATATATGTGAAGGCTGCAGTCGCCCACATCATGATTCTTTTCCAGGTTTGGCAATGGATGGAATATGGCTGTTGCTGTTGCTGACAATTAGAGTGCTTCCGGGGTCGACTCAGTTCAATGGTTACAACTGTGATGCCAACCTCCACAGTAGATTTCCTGGTAAGTCTGAACCTAATCTATTCTCTAATTGCTGCTGGAAGGAATGATTATATTTGAATGGTAAATCATTTAAATACATATGGACAATAGGGTCAATCCCTTTTCATTAAGTGCACATTAATAAATGGTAAATGACAAGGGACATTTTTCCAGAGTTGTAATTTATATCCATATTAACATACAAAGTGTTCATCAAAGATAATATTATTATAATGACTGCTCACAAATCTGAAAATTATTGGCTAGATGGTAGGAAAATTAGAATAGGCTAATTTCACTCAAAAATTTGCCTACTTGATGAATTCCTTTCATAAGTTAATTCAGACTTTTAAAATTGCTCTTAAACATGAATATATTTATTTAAGAATAATGCTTAAATGATTATAAAATATGTGTTACCTGCAAAATACTATTTCAATGAACTATTGGTCATCATGGAAGTATACAGTTCTACTTCTGAATTAATTTCACAGACATTTATTTGTGGTAAGTATGATGCTTTGCTTGTACTTGATATGTTCCACAGGTTCTCAAGATCTACACTGAGCAGACACTCAATATTTCATTAAAGTATTTGACATTTATACTGTTTAGAGTTATCAAATTATATTTCAACATTTACACATGAAAGTGAGAGACTGAGAAATTATTTTCCCCAAGTCTACCATGCAAACTCTATCCTTTAGGCCATGTACTGCATTTCATAAATTTATCAACCTCTGCATAGTAGAGCTACAGCACATCTGCACAGAGCAATGAGTTCACAGCAGAAGTGATATTGCTACATGAGAATAAAGACTAAAACATATCCAAATGACTCACTGAATTCAGATCTAGTGTCTGTGCACTCAGCAAATACAGAAAAATATAGAGGCCTGGTGGGGAATACCTGGAGATAGTCTAGAAAGGATTTTGAGACATGGTCTTTAATGGTTTTGAATATTACATATAAATTTTTTTAGTATTTCTCAATATGGAAAATTTCAAACATCAAAAGTAGATTTGGGCAAAAAGAGCATATATGCTGATAATCTGCATTTATTATCAACATTTAATTTCATTTTTCTTTTTTCAGTATTCTCATCTCTGAAATATTTTAAAGGAACTTCATTATTCATGCTTCAGTATGTGTATTTAATAAAAAACTGTAAAAATTGCTATATTATGTATATATTTAATAGATTTCATGATTTCTTCATGTTCCCAAATATTCAGCAATGTTGTGTTTAATTGGTCATTTATTGTATAGAATTTTGGCACTCTGGGTGTGTCTGGTGCAGCCAGGAAGTGTCAGTTATCAGTCTTATCTTTGCCTATTTGTCCTATAATCTAATTAGGCCTAGAGATTTAAACAAATGCAAATTCATATATTTTAGCAAAAATGATTTGTCTGTTACATTGCATAATTAAAGATTTCTGTCTATATTTTGTAGACAAGGAAGAGTAATGGAGTGTTTTTAAACATACTTTTTAAAGGTTTAATGGGGTAAAAGGTTTAATAGTTTAAAACTAAATCGTTCTTAAAAATAAACATTGGAGAAAGTAAAATAGAATCAATTTAGAAGAGTCTAGAAGCAGATAAAAATATGGAAGGCACTGGAGTGGGAGCAATAGAAAGGAACAACTTTATTAAGGTTTTCTTTCTGGTGGACTCAGCAGAATTAGAGAACTGATTCAACAGGGAGGCGAGAGGACAGGAAGATGAGGATATTTTGAAAAAACTTTTTTATTTTAAAGAAGGATAAAAATGATACAGAATTTCAAAAAGTGGAAAATTAACACTAGTTATTGTGTTGCATATGGTTATTACAAGATTTAGGTATACAAATGATCGAACAGTCAAATGATGAAAGCAAAAACTTATTATTGATGAACTTACAGAGATTGGTAGTACAGTTATCTATCTTGTAGACACACACACACATATGTATGTTTTCTTATATACATATTATCTCTTCCCTTCTTCCTTCTCTCCTTCCCCTATCCCAGTTGTTCTTTCCTTTTGTCACCTTCTTTCCCTTTCATTTTCTATTGTATGGTAGGGTTCTTATTACTCTTTCAGTTTTTTTTTACACTAGGGAAACAATATGATATTTGCACACATGAGTTTGATTTATTTCACTTATGAATATGGCCTCAGAACTGCAGGATGGTTAAAAAAAGATGTGGCATTTTTATACAATGGGGTACGTCTTGAGAGTGGATGATTAAAAGTTGATACTGTTAGGAGCCAACAGAAATGTAGCATACTTGCATGCTTTGGAAGGCAGTTTGAGTTTGGAAAAAGTGTTTTAGAGGAATTTTTTAGGAAGGAATGTGTAGTGGTAGCTTCTGTGCGATGGATATGGGTATGAATCAGAGAAAGGAGGTCAGAACTGAAAATGGCTATATGAGAACTGAAATCCTGTGCAGTGTGCGAGCAAAGATTAGGAGACAGCAAAAGGAAATGTTTCAAAAAAGACTAAGGAAAAAGAACAGCAATTTGATCTAGAAGTTGAAATAGAAGAGTTTTACTTTCTTTTTGCTGTGTTTGTGTGTGTGTGTGTGTGTGTGTGTGTGTGTGCGTGTGTGTGTGTGTATGTGTGTGTGTGTGTGTGTGTGCGTGTGCACTTGTGTAGTGGGGAGGAAGGCGGATTCCTGAGTAAAAGTATTCAGAAATTGGAAATGTGATAAGGAAATAACTGATGCAATGAGAAAAGAACATACAGTAGCAAAGAACTTCACAATTAGAGGAATCAACCTTTGGAAAGTAATAGCTCTTTATTTGATTTATAAGAAAACAGGTAAAGACAGACACTGGGAAAGTGAGATAAGCTTTTTTTCCTCATGTGTTGGGAGAAGGTAGTCTTCATCCAAATTAGGGGCCAGAGGCCTGGAAGACCCTTGGAAGGCTGGTCAGAACAAGGCTCTATTACAGATGGAGACGTCTAAGATGTAAACCTAATGCTTAGCAGCGAGGCTCTGACTGATATTGGAGTTATACATACTTGTAAGTATGAATAAAACATGTTGATCAGCCCAGAGGTAAGGCAGCAAAAAAGTACATAGCATATGGTAAAAATTTTTAATTATGTTAAAACATTTGTTTATGATGATATCTCCTGAATACACACAACAAAAACAACTTGGGAAGTTATTTAAATTGTGGACTCCATCACCTCACCCCAAATATGTGATGTCAGAATCTCTGAATATCGTAACAGAGTCTATTTAAAACCCTGTAGATTATGCTAATGCATGTTTATGGTTAAGACCAAGTGTATTACTTTGAGGGGCTTTTATTACAATTAAAAGCACAATATAAATGAAAACAAAATCTTAGTACAGCCCCCAAGTTCTCTGTACTAAGGTAGCAGAGAAAGAAAATACTTTATTATTAAATAAGCATGAAGCTCAGTATGTGACAAGCATTTCATGCAATTACTAAGAGATTGCAAAAGTAGGGAAAAAAAGAAAACAAAATCTCACCCTTTGAGACAGCCTGCAGCATAGCTATTTTCAAAATAGACAAGAACTGATTCTCAACTAAAAAGACTTGACAGAACCATTTGTCATGCATCTTGACTTTACCTGGTAATTGAAGAGACCATTTGTGTGAGTTTGCTGGCTTTACACAGTGGAAAAATTAACTTCTTACAAGGTATGAATTGGGGTAGTTTTGCCATTTGAAGTAAAGTCCACACCAAGTTAAGCTCCCACCTTCTCACAGAACCTGGGAGATAAAGATGTAATCTCTCTTTGATGTTTACATTTCAAAGAGCTCCTGATTTCTTGAGAAAAACCTTGTGGGTCCTAAAGTGTACAAAAGCCTTATCTAGTTTTCAAATGGATATATATATATATATATATATATATATATATATATGCATTTCAAAGAAAGAAGAAAATACAATTTCAAATTCTCTAAAGTAAATGCTCTAAGGTAGGTCTTTCATTTTGAACAGGAGAATCTAGCCTCTTATTTTAGTTTATGTTCTTCCTTATAAACATTAGCACTTTTAGTAGTATCTGGCTAAGGCAATAAATTTCCAAATGTCCAAATATATATATATATATATATATATATATATATTTGGAACTATATGTGTATTTGGAAATATATTTTTATATATCAGTCATATACACACGTTGTATAATTCAAAGTATAATTCAAAATTATTCAAAATAATTCGAAATTGGGCCTAGGAATTTAACTCAGCAGCATAAGTGTTTGCCTGGCAAGCAGAAGGGTGTGAGTTGGACCCCTAGTATCTAAGGAAAAAAAAATTGAAATTCTATTTTTAAAAAAAACCTCCTGAAATCCAGTAAAACAGAAGTGTTGAGAGAGTCTTCAAGCTTTTATGGTTGCTGTATTTTTTTTTTTTTTTTTTGCAGGCTTTTACAGAAAGAACAGAATGAGGCAATAAAGCCTAAAGGTTAATTGCTCATTGCCCTCCTGACTTTTGGCTTCTTTCCATCTCTGATCATTGTTGACGTCTTGTGGAAATCCACAGGCCTGGGAGAACTGAGCAATGAGACTGAGGGAGAAGGAATCTGGCAGAGGAGCGGGCCTATCTAAATGCAAAGCAGGGTTAATAATGATGACAGTAATCCTCCTGCCCTGTCTGACCTTTGCTGTTTCATGATATTGGGACTGTTTTCTTTAATTTCCATGGCATTTATTCTTGGGCCAAGAGAACCACCATGGTCTAGTTCATTTAAATTTAAAGAGATACCTAATTTTAAGAGTAGTTAATACTTGGCTACCCAAGTTAAGAGAAAGGATAGACTCATGTTTTAGTGAAATAGTAGTTGTGTTCTTCCCAGAATAAAATTCAAATAGAGAGTTGACTCTTACAGTACCAAAACCTATATTTGGTCCGATGAAACTTATAAATAAATGTTTCTGGCATCTCTTCTGGAACTAATCCCTGTGTTTGAAAGGGAACAGTGTGTGAAGATTAGGGTAAACTTGTAGGACTCTGAAAAAATCCTTAATGGTAAATGCACAACCAAGGAGG